CACCGTTAAAGTGATATTCATTAATTGATAGGCGGTTGTTTTTACTGTTAGATGCATTTTTGAGGGTGATATATCTGTCGTAATCGATTAATACATATTCACACCAAAGTCGATGTTAAAGCAAAATATGTCAAATTTGAATAAAGTATGATATACTCTCCTTCAAAGGTTCAAATGGAAGTTGGAAGAAAGAGGTCTGTAATCAATGTTACACTCAAATAAAACTACTTGTTCACACATATCATATCTAATGTAGAATGATAATAATATTAAACTACCAGCTAATAGTATTAGTTGTTAATTAGCTATATCATGTGTGCCATTTCTTTCAAATAATCAATTGAAGTAAAGTAAAATAAAGTTGATAAATAGTGAAGGATATTGAAATTAACATCAATTAAAAGATTGAATTATATTCTCTCTCTCTTTCTCTCTCTGACCATCTGCTCTTGTATATAATTGTTCATTTCTATAATTAATATAAATATAAATTGAAGGACATATAGTAGATGCACAATCATGTCTTTCGATATGTTATGTGAATATTTGTTGTCACGAATGTCTTAGACGAAATAATTATATCGTTGTTGTTGTTATTTTTAGTATTGTTCATAAATGAACATTATTATCTTATTTGATTGCACGCGTTTATATTATTAAATAGCAGCTATAGGCAAGAAGATCATCCAGTTTTATGATTTTCTTGATTATGCAATGTAATCGTACTAGATAAAAATCTTTTGACTTTTTACAATTACTTTTCACAACATTCTCATTATTACTCTCAATTGTCATCATAATATTGTTAAAGATTTAAACAATCGATAAAATTCTAAACATATTCAACTGATTTGATATCTTTTATTCTACCATTATGATATTTCACCAAACAAAGCATTTTGAACAGAGAGATGTACATGCTTAGTTTGTTCAAAAACCTGTTGATTTTTTTGCACTGGTATATTCACCATAATCAGTTCAAGAGTGCATACCCTATCCTAAGTAATGATACCAGGTTTTAAATACTGATCCTATATAAAAAATCATATACATATATCTTCTAAATTTTATATTCTGTATATATGGCAACTGTTAATAAAATATATATATATACATTTAACGTAAAAAGCTATACAAATTGTACATTGAAACTAAAATTCAAATAGGTATCAAAGAGTGGAATGTCTCGTGGTACATGGAATGTAGACAAATTGAATATTAAATAAATACATATACGTTACAAACAAGAAAAGCTAAAAGCACCAATAAACAAATATCCTGGAATGTTAATGATATATACGTTAGTTTCTTTTTTTTAATATTGTGTCATACCGTAACACATATTCATACTTGTCGGATGATGATACATTGATGTGTCTTTTACCATAAAATGATCGCTTGCACAATCATAATAGTCTGTGAGAAATGTTGTTTCATGAGATGTTGAATTGATTGGTGGAGTATTGAAAATAGTTGTTGATGCAGCTATTGTTGACGGAGAAGAATAATGTGAAATAAATTTGTTTGTTGCTATTGGACTTATATCATCAGCACTACTGTTTGTATTATCATACGATGATGATATTTGACTACTCGAACTACCAATACCAGCGTCTTCTTCTTCTTGTTCATCATCACTATTATTTTTGTCTGAACTTTGTGGTGATAAATCGCTCATCAATGTTTTATTCTTTTTTAAATTAATAAATTCCAATGGATTTCTCACTTTTGGATGAAGTGAACTCACCATGTACGCTTCATCATTTGTGTATAACGTTGAATTATTATTTTGATGATGATGATAATAATCATCGTTCATTGGATAATACGGATTATACGCCTGTGGAGTAGTGGTGTCAAATGATTGATGACAGTTTAATAAACGTGGATTTAGACATAGAGTAGCGGCAACTAAATTCATTGTATTCTGCGATAAACCGCGACATAATAATTGAGCAAATCGTGCATTGTCCGTTATTTGTCCACTCGAAACCATTTCTGATAGAGCCTCAATATAATTTTTAGCTAAACGTAGTGTTTCTATTTTCGATAATTTTTGTGATAATGAAAAACACGGTATTGTATCTCGTAGTATTTCTAATTGTTCGTTCAAGCCTTTCATTCGATCACGTTCACGACCATTGGCTTTTAAACGGCGAATTTTAAACTTAGCCACACGAGCAGGTGTCATTTGTTTCTTTTTTGGTCCACGTTTTTTGGGAATTTTGTGCATTTGTTGTTGAGATTTTTGATCATCGATGATAACAGGAGACACGGTCAATGTTTTTCTTGTACGTTTTAGATTTTGTTGTTGTTGTGGTGCTAGTACTGGGTGGTATGTTGGTGAATATTTGTTGAGAATAAACATTTCAGAATTTTCTTTTCCGCCAGTTTCCATGCTTTCGTATAACTGAATTTCTTGCTCAAGTTTTTCCAATAGGCGTTGTTCTTCGTCTTTAGGAATTTTTGTTGGCATTCTAAAATTTATCCAAAATATTTGAGGTTAAACATTTATTCTTAAAACTTGTCAGCATAGCTCTTCCTATTGCTACGCGAACTGATGCTCAAACATAGTAAATTCATTTTTAAAAACTATGATAGAAAATTGTAGCAAGTAAGATCCTATTACAAAATGTTTTCCATTGCAGAGATGCAATACAGTTAACTCATATTACTATGCAACGGAATAATATATAATCTATCTGATATAGAATTAAACGAAGTTGATAAAGATAAATAATGTTGTTTATTACTTACGCTTGTTATGAGTTCTTTTTGATCAGTGTTCAGTAATTTTTTAGTATAATAATTCGAATGTTACTTTATAAAGTTCGAGTGCTAATATAAGAAGTAACTAGACTGCATCCGCTCTTATCAAAAAAGAAGTGTGTTGTTTTCTGTTCAACTCGAAAGATATGAACAGAGATATTTCTCCTAGTCTGTATAGCAAATAGGAACCAATAGAAAGGGAATTAACTATTTCTCGTTTCCTATTGGCTATTATGATTCATAAATCTCTACATGTATATTCGTTCCTTTTCTTTTTTTTGTTCAATTTAATAACATCTCACATTTGTGAACACAAAATAGCTGTATATAATAAAACGATAAAATATGGTATAAAAATTAGTCACTGGTGTTTCCACAATATATCAAACGGAATCATATCCGAAGATTCATCTTTTTTTAAGAAGACTTGCAAAATCACTTAAGTTTTGAAAAATCTAGAACCAAGTTTTTATATTCACTATCAATGATCAAGGTGAACGTTAAATGCACTGCCTCGACTTTCAAGGATATGCAACGAACGCATTCTAGTGAAGAGCTTCGATGAAGCTGAAAAATATATCATGCCTCAACAAAAAGTAGTTGGGAGCTCATCTTCTTTAGAATGGAAATTTGGTCTATTTCATATTCAGGATAAAAATCGCGTTTTGCAAAGTTCAACTTTTCTGATTAATCAATGGCAAGTGTTCCAAATCGATTGATTCGCAAAACTAAGATGAATGTGGCACAAATAGCCCAAAAGTTTGTTCGCTACGGAGAGTCTGTTCTTTTTATTGTAGAAATTATACTGGCTTTAAAATAATGAAACTTCTAGATCAGAGCCAAGGTTATATCTGTATCATCCCGTGTATATTCTTGAAGAATTAACTATACCTTAAATGAAGAGGCGAAAAAATTGGCGTATCTTAAACATTTGAACTGCACTTTATGTAATCTTTGTGGAACATGGAAGTAGAAACAAATACTTGCAAAAATTCTTCGGTTTCTGCAGTTGAGTTTTAAAATCTCTCTTAATTTCTCCGCTACAAAAGGCTAACCAAGCATTTGAAGTTTTCGACTGTATTTTAAACGTTACTCATAGTTTTTATGTTTGTTTCATTATTAATCCTACATGATTTCGGTTTGCCATCTGTAGTCTAGAAATATAAATTGCCGTGAGCTGTTTTTGACACTTTTGTTTTTGAAGATGAATAAAAAAGAAAAAATCGGAACATTTTCTTTTTCTGTTATCACCTCACTATACGAGTGAGTAAGTGGCTGTCTCTAGTGAGAAGTATCTTACACCGTTATTAATTTGTCAGAGTGTGTGTCGCGTATTAGGAATGTGTTTTTTTTGTTTGATGAGTTAATCATCAAATGCCTAACTATTGTTAATTATTAGCCTGCCGTTTAATATCACACTCACGATATTTTAGTATCGAATTCACGCATGGAAATCGTTTAAGTAGACGACAATAGGTAATGAGCGATAATGGACATGATGACTTCCTCACTCAAATTACTTCTTCGACTTAAGCTCAAAAAAAGTCAGGATTGATTTTACTTTGTAGTAATGTTTTACGACGGTTAAATACCGAAGCACAATTCTTCAAATTTTTCTATGCTCATTTGTAAGAAAAATCTTCATGCTAGAATTTCACAAGTCCTGTAGGAGATTTATATAAAAAAAATAAAAAATCTATCTCTTTTATTCAATGAGGATTCGTGTCATCTTTAAATAAAGAAACTTTGTATCACTGAATTGATAAGAAGAAATTGCGAAAGTTACCAACATCGATTTAATGAAAAATATCATACAAATGTTGACACTGTTGAATACATTTTCTGGGCAAATTCACAAAACAATGTATTCACACATTTTTGTAGACCACAAAGTACTAAGAGCGCATGTCTAGAAATATGTGCATGGCATATTTCTTCAGGTTTCAAAATTTATTTTTTAAAAGAGGAGACTTTGTTCTGTTTAACTATGTGTCGTTCTCAAAATCAGCTTTTCTTTTGGTAATAATCGACATTTCTGATCAGAAAGAGAAGAGGAAGAAATTTCAAACTGCCTATCAAAAAGATTCTAATATTGATACGTACGATATCATAATTCAGCGACAAATAATTTTTATTGAGAACAGATATTCTTTTGAGTCGTTATATATTAGATTTATGGAACGATGATACATACTATTTAGATGAAAAGACAATATCGCGGTATGTGATTGATCATTTGCTATTCACTGCACCGTATATATTAAATGCTAATTTTAAATTTCTGCGAAACATCTTTTTATAACGAATCGTTTAATGAACACAATTTTTTTTTCAAACGTTGTGTTAAATATTCTTTTGTTTTTTGGTAGAATACAAAGATAAAAAACAAAATTATTGACATTCATCTAGAAATTCTGTTACCAGATGGTGAATATTTACAAAAAAATTGATGTTTTGAAAGAGGATGAATGAGAACAGAGAAGTTCTAGTGAAAGGCAAATACTATTCGTAAAGTAAACATCTGATAACTGCTTTTGAAGCGCAAAGGAAGGTTACTAATATCTTTTAACTTGCATCAATTTTATAAAATATTTTTCAGGTTTTGGTACATGGTTCGTCTTTTACTGATATTTTTAAGTGATATTTGTTAAAAAGCGAATATAGATCGTATACGGACATATGTAGTTATTTTACAATTTAGTATGATCATCAACTTTCATCTTCGTTTATCAGCCAAAAGCTGTATGATAGTTTGTTATTAAACGTCGAATATTCTAGGATTCTCTATGCATACATAAACGTACATATATACAGTATATACACATCATTCATAAAGAGAGGATGCTGAATAATTGTTTAAGGAAATCTCAAATTTATAAGATCGATAACGGAATACACATCGCGAGTGAGTAAGTTAATTATATCTAATAAAATTACAAGTCATTGAAAACGGAATTGAATCTAATTCGTCCTTCTTCTTCTTCTTCTTCTCTCTCTCTTTCTGCGTTTTTCATTGATATTATTTATTTTTAAAACATATGAAATCTTATTTTTGTTACAACATAAATACTGATAGTCATATTTTGGTACAGAAATACGTTGAGTAGTATCAAATATACCAATTACAAGGGGAGTGTGTATAATTTACTCATGAGAATAGAAGAAAATAAGATACTACACACAAACAGCTCATTCTTCAGTTTTGACTTGTTTAATTAGTTCTATGTATTTCACATTTTAGGTTTGATGATAATGTATTGTGAAAGATGGATGATGACTCATGGTTGTGCATATCTAATAGTATCAACTTTTTTTATGAACTCAAACATTTTGATTTGTATTCCCTAATTCACTCCATTTTCTTTTTACTTTTGGAAAAATATGCTGGAATATACTAAATCATGATTCATACATTTCTCTACAAAACTCTATCCTTGCTAAGTACAGTCATACTTATGTGATGTTCGATTGTCAATGTAGTTGTTAAAAAAAATAATCAAATAGAATATTCGATGCTACTCAATGAGTCTTTTTTTCCACAAGTATTAATCTTGTTTTCGTTAGAATATGAACTTTTCATCTCGTTTCGTTGATATTAAAGAAGGTGTACAAGTTCTTTAGAAGATAATAATAATTGACTGTCGCTTCTTATATCTCACACGACACACTCTCGTTGATGTTCAAGAATATCTGATCAGTGATATCACTTGATTGTTTCCACTTGATATTGAAAAAATTTTTGGAGATGATAAATGCCAACTATAAGGATAAAAGAAACAAAGTTATAAACAGTTTCAACTGTCTTATCTACCGTGACTCTTTTTTCTATATCAAAAGACATTGCTTAAATGATGTTTATATTTTAAATGATGGTTATATATAGTTGAATTCATATATCATTAAAAATTGTGAAATAGAAGAAACTCTAACGATAATATTTACTAGCACGTCTGTCATAGAATTTTATTATGTCACTATAAATTTAATCTTCTTTCCCAAGACGTTTATTTTAAATGTCTTTAAAAATTAAAGTAATGGAATCGTCACACACACTGTGTAAAGATCATTGACGTCATTCATTGGGATTGTCTTAGCACGAGTCAATAACAAGAGAAGAGGTGTAAGATTGTATGTGTATGTGTGTGTGTTAATTGTTTACAAGTAAATAATTCGTCACATCACCATTATCACGTTGCCGTCATTTAATAATCAAGATTCATGGCAGTATGCTATTTTTTGTTTCTCTATGGAACAAACTGGCACGCGATCTTAAGTCAATTTTCTTTTTCTATACAATTGCATAATCTTTATGAAGTCAGAGAGTGAGAGTGTAAGAGTGTGTGTGTTGTGTTTGTGTGCAAAACTTAAATAAGCATTAAACCGTACATAAAATCAATACAGCACATACACACACACATATATATACAAATGCTCACTATTTCTAATTGGAATGATAATAATAAGTCTCTAAAATTTTTAAATGATTAGTTTTTAAAGTGAGCAATAAAATAATTATATTATATTTCTTTACCAGAAGAATATACCATGATGTAAGGAGAAGATAATATCGCCCTAAGATGTTATTTTTGTTTGTTATCTCCAATCAAAAAATCTCATCGAATATATTTTGACAAGAATAAACAATAACTAAATATGACATAAGAGACAATATATCATGTCACTTATTTAGAAGTAGTTGTATGATAT